ATACTTTCAATCCCTTCTTTTGTGGTAAACACATCTGTACCAATAGTTATACTTCTTTTAATATTTTGTTCCATTCATCACAAACTAATGGACCTTGAGAGTTGGCTAACAGATACATTTTATTTGGTTAATAGTGGGGATTTTTGTTTAGTTGTCTTGCTTTTAATGTTTTTGAATATGGGTCATGCACACTTATAAAACCTAGACAGATCCCAGAGGCTTTAAATATGCTGCAACAGGCTTTGTTCTTTGAAACGTGACCTAACAAAAGATGTGAGTTATTTCATTCAGCAGGGTGAAGGTTACTTGAGGTAACTTGCATGCACCCTTGCAATAAAAGGAACTGGACGACAACAGGAAATAAAATAAAATCTGCTTTAATGGCTTGTTTTGACTTCCTTGAGAATTTTTCTTCACAGGCTATTTATGAGTTAAAAAGAGGTTAATACTGGTATCCACACAAGAATGTGGCCTGTGGAATCTTCCAAAGAGTATCATTTGGATAAATTCTTGTTGTCTGAGGCAATGATTCTTTACCATAAATTATCAAATGCAATACAAAATTATATTTTAGTAATAATAGCTGTAGTTCTAAAGACTTGGAATAATTTTAAAATATAAGTTAGATTATATTCTAATAGTGTTCACTCCTTTGTATTCTAAATTGTGTATGTGTGTAAATATGAGGGGAGAGAGGAAAGGAGAGTGGAAGAGTGAGACAGACGGAGTTAAAATACTTAGATTTTACTTACCCCCAAAACATCGCTGAGGTTGAAGCCTCATGTGGACATCATTTGGGGATAATCTCTAAATAAAGACTGAAGATTTGAGAATAGCTCTATAGGGAATGGCTTAATTATAGAGCAATTTTATCTTATTATTCTCAATACTTGGTCTTTAATAGCTGCCTGAATAACATTCCTAAAATAAGTGAGAAGCACTGAGATCAGTATTATAATTTTCTGGAGGTCTCCTGAGATACAAGGTTAAATTTTCCAAGGAAGTTGCGTCATCTATTCTGCCGGCATTTATAACTCTCTAAGACAATGCGTACCTATGAATGAAACACTCTGATCTGATCTCTGGTGATGCTTTCCTAGCCCATAATCCCATGGTGTTTGCACACAGAAGGGTGCTAACTTGAGACTTTAGGACTTAGTGGAAGGTCTGTAACTGGCACAGTCTCTATAGGCCAAGGTTAGAAGACAGGAAGATCAGAGTCTTCCAGGAAGAAGGCAGGTACAGGTAATTAGTAGCACCAGCTGAGCCAATCAGACTGAGGCACTGTGATAGGCAGAATTCTTAAACAGTCGCCAGGATTTCTACCCTCTGGAGTACATGCCCTGTGTAATTCCCTTCCCTTGAGTGTGAGCAGGACCTGTGTGTATGACAGGACAGCACTCTGGGTGATTGCATTACATTGTCACACAAAGGTGAAGTAATTTTCCATATACAAATAAGGTCCCAATCATTTGACTTTGAAGTTATCAATAGGAAATTATGGGTGGGCTGACTGAATCAGATAAAAACCCTTAAAAGAGGGACTAGGTGCCTCCTAAAGAAAAGCACTCTCCATCTACTTGAAGGAGCAATAGCTGTGCCATGCACTGCCTATGGCAAAGAGAGGTTCTAAAAGCTGAGGGTCCCAGCCCTGCAACTACCAGCAGAGGACCCAGCTAAGCCATGCATGGACTCCTGACCCACAGAACCTCTGAGATAGTAAGTGTGTATTGTTTTAAGATGCTAAATCTATGGTAATTTGTTGTACGGCATGAGAACTGATATAGGCATAGTTACTAACAGAAATGGCAAAAAAAAAAAAAAAAAGACAGGAGTGTACGTAATATGTACAATACAAAACAGTGTGTAACAGGAGAATAAATTGGTATTCCGAAGCCTACTCCTAGATAGAGAACCTCTAAAAATAGTAAGTCAGGGGGGCACTAATCACACAGTTGTGATTGTTTCCAAGTTTGTCTTTCCCTAAACTAAGCTCTGCAGGGGTCTCTGCCATCATTATTTCTTCTGTAAACAATTTCTATGGCCTCCTCCATGGGAGGACATGACCTAGGTTCTGTGAATGCAGAAATGAAGATGTCAGTATTTGTGGAATGACTGATGAGTCAAATACATACATACTTGTGTGGTTGGGTATGTGAGATGCTCCCTGGGAGGACTCAATGAAGTGCTCCAGGAGCACTATAGGCCAATCTGCCTGGCAGCCCTCCCTCACTTCTATCCTCTCCCTCATAGGTCTTCACAAATAATTTACAGCATTTTTGCATCATAAAGGATTTCTAGGAAAAAAATATTAATCATATATAATACATTTTAATATATAAATTAATATACACACATACATAAATATATGTATATTTAAACTGCATTTAGGTAAGTTATGGTAGAATGAGCTGGAGATCAACTTGGATCACTTTGTAAAGGACCTTTCCTATGTAAAAAAAAAAAAAAGGCTAGGAGATTTGAATGGATTTTTTTGTTGTTGGTAATTGATGGTGAACAACAAAAATACGTTCTACACAGAGGCGAATTGTGATCTGTTTTGTGTTGTGGGAAGGTCTCATGACAGCAGGCAGACTGTGAGAGGCAAGAAAAGCAGTAAGGAAGGTAGAGCAGGATGCAGACGTGTCCCACGCACTCCTCCATCCCTCCTGTACAGCACAGGGCCCATCCAGTAGTGGGAGGCAACAAGTATTGGCTGATTTACAAACCAACACAGCATCAGATGTGAGCTCCAGAGATAACAGACATGGATGCAGCAATCTCTGAGAGTTCAGAAATGAGTTTTCATTTACCACAGAGTTAGGAGAGGGGATATTTCAGGACTACAGGGTCTGAGGGGCAGAGGATGGGGATTGAAAAAGCAAGTCCAGTCTCAGGACCTCTACTGAGCTCTACCTGGAATGGGAAGGAGTAATCTCAAGGCCTGGTGGGCTGAGAGTGTTCAGGGACCAGGAACAGCTCAGGGATCCAATTAAGCACTGCTATTCAGACTTAGGGTCCTGCCTGACCCCCCACTTTGAAAATTCAGACACATCGTAGCCCAGGCCACATTAGCACACTGTCCTCCCTGTCAACTTTTTAGGAAGCCCCTGTTCATCCTCTGTTTTTCCTTCCTTCACACTCTGTGCTTATCCCCAGCTTCTCCCTCTTCCAGGATGATTCATCTCAGAACAATGTCAGGCCCATAAAGGATTGCTCACTTGACCCATTGCTTCATAGTATAGGCAAGGCACCCTCCTCTCTTTCTTCTGACTCAGGCATAAGATGTCTTCTTTTTTTCCAAAGCATAACTAACCCCTCTGCCTGTGTTGACAATCCCTATATCCACTCATTCATTTGTTTTAATTACTCACTGAAAACTATTTGTTGAATGCAGACACCATTCTAGGCACTGGAGACACAGCACTGAACATGAAACTGGGGTTCCAAGCTCTCAAAGAGCTGACATTACAGATAGGGAAGTAGGAAATAAGCAGTGAGCCAATAAATGAACTAAAAGTTTTCAGAGTTATAAGTACTCTGAAAAAAAATAGTAGAGTAATAAGTTTCCCAAACTCCTTTTGAGTTTTCCATCTCCACATATTTCATACCAACCATTCAATGACCTAAGCCCAAAACTTGGAACACATCCTGAACTCATCTCTCTCACTCATCCTTTACTTTTAATTAGCAATCCCAAAGCCATGTAGATTCTAACTCTCAATGGTTCTCAAATCCACCTGTTCTCTGTCCCGTGATACTTAATGGCAACACTGTCACTTTTCGCCCAAGTTATTGCAGCATTCCCTGACTGGCCTCCTCTCTCTAGTCTTACCCTCTTCCTTTGTATCATGCTCTTGTTAAAAACTGCTCAATGGTTCTCTATAGTTTCTCCAGTGAGCGTCACCTTCCTTCATTTAGCATGCAAGGTCTCTCATTATCTGGGTCCTTCAACCTAGTTTCCCTACTGTCACCTCTCTAAAAAGCTTTCACTCAGCCATATTTGCGGGCATACCTGTTAAGGTTTACAGTACCCTCATGCCTTTGGTATATTTTGCTCTGACTTGAAGTACCCTGTGTTCATTCTTTTTTAACTTCTTTGTTCAAAACTCAGACCAAATGTCACCTTATTTAGGAAGACCCTTTTCCTTATAGTGATGATGAAGTTATTAGAAGGATTACATTGAGAAGATAAGTGAAACTTTTAGCACAACGATGACACTCAGCTTATATATCATTTCCCTGGTGGAGTTTCTTGTATTAGTACAGACATAATTAGCATGTAAATAAAGTCTTCCTATTTGCAATGAAAACATTTCAGAATACAAACCCTGAGGTGGGAGACTTGTCTCCCTCATTGTTTTAATGAAATAGATTCATGCACAGAAAATTTTTCTTGTCATTTGTGCGTTTATTGCCTGATACTGTTTATTATAATTTGAGCTGCTACACATTATTCTTAATGGCCTGGAAGTGATTCTGATGGATCACAAGATTAGACCACATCGCATGCATATCACCATCTCAGACAGCACACACAATAGTAATTCACTGCAGTTCCCAGCCCTGAAGGTTGGCTGCTGCCATTTCCAATTTAAGACTGTCTCTTGGTACATTTGCAGGTGCTCTCTATACCCTGAGTACTGGATGTAGAATCCACCAAACTGCCACTTTCCCTGAAAGAATCTGGGACCACACACCTCCACCAAACCAAGATTTATCAGGAGGTGGTCTCCTTGGTCTAACCTTTAGCACTATAGCCTTGACCTTCTATGGAGTCTTTAGGTGCTCCATGTGAAAGAAAGAGTGGCTTTCCGAGAATGGATTTCCCTTTGGACACCTGTTCTCTGTACAGCTTTCTCTCTCAGCAACACACACAAAAGCACACACCTCCAGTTCTTACTCTCATTATTCTATGATGCTCCCTAACTGCTCTGAGTCTGTATGTTTCTGAGCATGATAGTCCCTAGCAGGGCTAGGAAAAGATGCAGTTTTCTTACTTGCATTCAGCAGAGTCCGGATCTTTCTCTCTTCTTCAGCTTCTTGAAGCAACTTTTCTGCCAGTGTCTTGTCCTCTGATTCTATGCACTCGTCAGCCTCTCGAAGGTATTGTATGTAGTCAATCTCCCGTTGGGCACGTTCAACTCTCAGTGCCAAGTTACTCACTGCACTCTTGTACTCGTTTGTGTGAGTCTGACATCTTCCCAGCATGACAGATATATTTTTTGAGAACTCTTGGAATTCTTGAATGTATGCCCTCGTTGCTTGGGTACATTTTTCCAGCCCTTGCTTCAGTCAGAAAATAAATTTGCAAATTATTGCTTGTTATTTAAATTATCCAAATAATATAAATAGCTATCATTCACAGAAAAAGATTAGAAAATTACAAATAATTAAATGGGAAAAATTGAAGTCACCCGTAATTACTAAATTCAAAGGTACTATTGATGCTTTAGTATATCAGTTTTTAAAAGTTTTCCCAGGCATTTAGTCATACATATATAAACATATGTTTTAAAATGTGATTTTAGTATACATATGTTTTGTATCTTTTTCACTTGCAGATACATTGTGAACTTACTTTGATACCAATTAATGTATACCTATACCGTAGTTTTAATGAGAGCATTCCATTGAAATGATATCCCATTACTTATTCTGTTACTCTTTTTGATGTACATTTACATAGTTTTTAATTTTTTGTCATTCAAATGATGCTGAGAAGAAAAAAAAAAACTTTGTATTTACATCTTCATCAGATTATTTTAAGGTAGATTTCCAGAAGATTTGTCCCTAGCACTTGGCACAGGACAAAGCACATAATAATATTCAATAAATATTTGTTGAACAAAAGAATAAACGAATGGGAATGGGATTGCTTGGTCAAAGACAATGTCTACTTAAAGCTAATTTGGCATAGTTTGTCAAAATGCTGTCCACAAATATAAAAATGTATACTCCAAACAGCAATATGTAAGACTGTTCATTTTGAAGGGAGAAAGATGGAGAAAGAGAGACACAAAATAATTGTCTAAACCCCTACCCTCTTTTTTCCTACTCCTCCGGGACTGGCTTCTCAGGCTGGGAATGCTATCACTCTGTGGTTGAGTGTCTGCGCTGGCCAACAGTGACTGCTACCTGCAACCTGGCTTCACCTCAGGTCAGGACTGTGGTGGGAATATCTACACAGATCATATCCTTGTCTTTTTCAAATCCACGTTCATAGCCATGAAGGGATTAGTCTGTACTTTATACCCTTGACAAGCTCTTAAAGTATTGAAAGATAATTTGCAGGGATTTGGCTGGCTTTACTGCCAGGGCAAGTCAGTGCTAAATGCAGAGAGATCCTGGTTGAGCAACATTTTGGCACTTCTAAGGAGGTGAGGCTCAGGAGGGAGCACGTGAAGAAGCACGAGAGGCCACTGGCCTGGGAACACTTCATCCACTGCCCCCAGGCCTCAGCCTGTTGGCTGGACACCCTTAGGAAATGTGTTTGGCCTGCTGTGTCGAATTACGTTACTCTGGCTGTAACTAGAAGAACAAATAATTTGGACATGAAGATTTTTCAGGAAAATGTAGAAAATAGTTATTAGCAATAAGGGTTTCTTTGAAAGAAGATAAATTATTTATCAATTTAGCTTGTACAAAAGCAAGTCATTAAGTATGAAGATTCAAAGCCAGGGTGTGGCAAAGGCTAGGGTGGAGGGTTACAGTTGTCTCTGGGAGCCTGTTGAGGCTGCCAAAATGTCCGGTTTTGCACATTTTAATGAGGTGGTAGCCCAAATGCTTTCTTGCTGTTTAATATTGCTGAGATCTGCTCACTTCTAAATCAAAATCCAGTTCAGCAAATGAAACTAAGACTTAGCTTCTCAATACACTGATATCATGACATTTTACAGTGACCTAATGGTTTATCATAAAAGACAAAAAGAAAAGCTGAAATCCACCATCAGCCTGAAACACTAAACATGAAGAAAAATTGACCAACATTTTTAAGTTTCATATTTTAAAAATGAACTATGGTGAATAATAACATTTTAGGTATATACCATTATGCCAGACAGTATTTCAGCTATGGATTAAATCTTCAGAATAAACTTACAACATAATTCTACTATTATCCCCATTTTACAGATAAGACAAACTGCCAAATCAGAGCACAAAGTGCAGCTGTGCTCAAGGTCTGAGAGTGGCACACTGGACTCTGGATTTGGGCTCTCAACTGCTAGACTACGAGCATTTTAAAGTATAACTTTGGCAATGTGTTTGTCATTTGCTATCTGGGAAAAAGACATCCCAGTAGATAGAGAAGCATGGGTAAAATAAAGTGACTTCTGGGAGGCCTGGTCCTTGTCCAAGGGGTACAGATGCCACCTACCTCCAAGACTTGAAAGCGCTGGTAGATGTAATGCACCATGGCTGGGTCCTGGGCACACTGCGGCGGGGGCAGAAAAGCTTCGAGGAACAGAACCAGCAACGCAGAAGCTCCCCGAAGGGCCACCATCATCCTGCAAAACACCAAGCAGGGCAAGCTCTTACACGGTGGCTCTTCTCAAAGAAGTCTTGAGGGTTCCGGTGGTGGTCTCCTGCTTTCTCTCTGCTGCTGTGACAAATCCTCTAAAAACAGCGTTTTGCACAGCAGACAGCAAAGTCCGCTTGTTATTCCACCCGATACATGTACTTAGTTTGCCAGCTGGTGATCAAGTCCAGCTGTTGGTAAGTTGGTCCCTGAGGCCTTGCAGACTGACTTGTGGCAGAGAGCTCCCTGGGTCCAGCATCTGTTGCCCTCACTCTTGACACATGGGGACCCTCCCCAGGCTAGTGATTGCACGCTGCTTCCAGGTTTAACTGTGTGTGCGCTGGGCTGGGGGTGAAGATGGCTTCCCTGCCATTCCCTTCCTCTAGCTATTTCCTTTTTATTTTTGCTTTCCTCCTCCCTAGGGGATTCTGCAGTCCAATCACAGGACTTCCCCAACACAAACCACCCCCAACTTTTCAAAGTTGGAATCTCAGTTTAGTTTCTGGCGAAATTTCCCAGGATCCTTTTCCCAGAAGCCCTATTGGGAGACCCCACCCCTCATCCAGACTCCCTTTGCATTCCTGCAGCTCTTAAAGGCACAGCCAGGAAAAATAAACATGGATCTACCACTATCTCTGAACAGCCAGTGCACAGGGCTGCATCACCACTTGGGCAGAAAGGTACAATGGGCTACAGGCCTGGCCACCCAGGCTGACAGCTGAAAGATCTCAGGATGGAGCTGAGAAGAAATTGATGAAGAGGAACAACAACAGTCATTGATACAGTGATGCTTCCAGAGTCAAGCATCAAAAAGTGAAATTCCTTTGTAAGGAAGTCCTTGAGTTTTCTCAATCACTAGAGGCAGAACTCCCTTCATGTAGCTGCAGGCCAGAAATATGTAGGACTAAACTGCAGGCCCTGGTCCAATTGAAGGTAAATTATATCCCTAGAACAAGGTGGTAAAATATTTGAATTTGTCTTTGCCGTCCAAGCCTCTTCTTATCTCAACCTGCCTTTCCAAGGGTAAGGCCAGGGCTCCTTGTGGTTCTTTCCCAATCACTTGCCAAAGTGAGAAAGATTGAGGCATCTATGGGATGTGAAAAGAATGCTATCCAGGAGTCAGAAGGCCTATGTTTCCATTTGGTCCTCACAAGAGACACTAATAGATACCTTTATCAAAGCATCTCATGTACCCCATAAATATAAACACTTATTATGTATCCACAAAAATTTTTAAAACGAAAGACACTAGTATAAACCGAGAATTTTCACTGGTGGTCCTTAAACTTCCTTATCTTCAGTAATATTTCTCCCCACCCTTCTTCCATATGACCACAGCTCCTAACTATTCCTCCTCTCCCTCTTGGTAAACTCTCAAACAGTAGTTCCTCATCCTTAGAAACAATTCCTCCTTTTTCTGAGAACCATCTTTGCACTATTCCCTACACCAGTTGAACTTCAGCTGACCCTGCCTCCTGAATCCTTATTAAAAGTTCTGCCTGGCACAAGCTCCTTCTCCAAGTGAGAATGTTCTCTCTGAAATTACTCATACCTAGCATTTTTGAATAAAGTCTTAAAGGTGCTCTAGTTGATTTTCTTCCACAAATGCCTCAAGTGATAACTTTGAGACTGTGAACTAAGATGGATAAAGTCCAGTGGAGGAAAACTCTGTATCACAATTAACTTTTGGGTGCTGGTGGTGTGGGTAGCTCTTTCCTGGGTTTTCTAGAGCATGCTTACATTACTTTTTCAATGAAATACACATGCGATATCCATGAAGTCTAAAGAATTACTGGAGAGTCAGTGAGGGGAAATGCAGTGGGAAGTCTCAGTTGCAGCAGAAGTCCTTGGGGTGCTTTCAGAGCTGCTGTTGCTCTTATCTCTGTGGAGTGGGCTCCAAAGAGCTTGGCCCAGGCCCATCTCTGCCCACTAGTGATTCAGGCCCAGCACCACTTTCTCTGCAGTCACCACCTTCTTCAGAGGGACACTCCTGGCCTCTCAGCTCTGACTGCCCACACCTGGTCTTAATTGGAGAGCTGCATTTACTCTTTGCAATCCCAAACAGGGACAGCAACTCTCACAGCTGGAACCCATAACCCATTAGGACTGATGACCTATGGTTCAGAAACAGAGTGGAAACTCATGGGTTTGAGACCAGCCCAAACAACATGGTAGAGTATTTTCTCTCCTAAAAATACAAAAATTAACCGGGTGTGGTGGCACATGCCTATAATCTCAGCTACTCAGGAAGGCTGAGGCAGGAAAATCACTTGAACCGGGAGGTGGAGGTTGCCATGAACTGAGATCGAGCCATTGCACTCCAGCCAGGACAAAAGAGCGAAACTCGGTCTCAGAAAAGAAAAACCAAATTCACTTTGGAGACAGTCCCAGCGTTGACACGCAGTGGCCTGCTGAAGCCATCTTTATTAGAGCAGTCCCTCTTCAATGGGTGCCAGGTGGGTAAGGGTGAAAAAGATGGCCTGCTGCACCTAAACCCGCAGTGGGACTAACTCAGTTAGCTCTGCTCTCTTCCTTACACTTAACCTCTGGCCTTGACTATTGCTCTAACTAGCCAGGACAGAGGACAAGCACAGTGACTTCTCTTTTCTCCTCTGCAAGTGTCTGATCCTTCTGCTTTTCTACCCCAGTATCCTGAGAGGGGAAACAAGCTCCTTAATATCCACCACTGTTTCCTCTGCGTGGTTGGGTCCAGGTGACTGGTCCTTGATCTATAAGCCAGGCCTGAGCTGACTGTTTTCTCTCAATGAGAAAGAGCTGGACATATCAGTGCTCTCAGTCCAGTGAGCCTCCTGAGGCTGATCACATCCAGATCTCCAGTTCCTTTCGGAAATTTTTGCTGCCTTTATCCCCTGTCGGCTCCAGTTGCTGCTGTGCCAACACAGTAACTGACCTTCTGATTTCTAGCTCCTTCTCTGCTTCTAGTACCGCCTCACTTTGCTGAGAGATGATAGTCAACTACAGCAAAGTCTGGAGGAGACTTTGCCTTTTTGAGGAGGTAAAACCCAACTCAACAAAATCCCTTCTGGGATATTAGAATGTATCATTTAGATGCGAATAGGATGCCTCCTTTTTCTGTTTTTCTCTCTTTGCTTCTAGGTTTCCCTTTATCTTTTATTTGCCACGCCTCCCCCATTTTCCCCTTCCTGATAGCTATTTGCTTTAAGTCATCTTCAAATCTTCCAACCTTTTACAAGTTAATTGCATTGTTTCCTGCATGAGTGATTGGAACAGCTCTAATTCCCTATCTTCATCTCTTTAGATAAAACATTGGCTGATTTTATGCCAAAATGAAAGCTTTTTACAATGTAACCTCTGCCAACCTTTCTTCAACTGTTAGCATCCACCACATTCATCCTCCACAGCAGCCACATCTAATTGTCCCCAAACTCCCCACGAAATTTAACATGTAGTATGTATCTTTGCTTATGCAATTCCTGCAGGCTAAAAGGTGTCTCCCTTTTGTAACTAGTGAATTCTTGGAGTCCTCCTGCCATCTTTTCGCCCCCATTCCAGGCAGAATAATACCCATAACATGTTGAAGCCTGAATCTTGGAAATTTGAGGGGAAGGCTAATCTGGGCATTGGTGCTCTGGTGAGAGTCATGGGCTTGCTGCCTTTGGGACAGACACCATTGTGGAAGGAGGACAAGAAGAAACAGAACCGTTAGGGGCTGAAGTGTGTTGCCCCAAAATTCATATGGTAGAGCCCTAACCTCACTTATATTTGAAGTTAGGATATTCAAAAAGGTGGTTTAGTTAACATGAGACAATTAGGATAGACTTTAATCCAATATGACTGGTACCCTTATAAAAAGAGGATATTTGGACCAGGGATATAGATGCACAGAGAAAAGCTCATGTGAGGACACAGCTAGAAGGTGGCCATCTGCTAGCCAAGGAGGGAGGCCACATAAGAGACGAAACCTGCCCACACCTTGATCTGGAACTTCTGGCTTTTAGAGCCATGAGAAAGTAAAATTGTGTTGTTTAAGCCTCAAGTCTGTGGCATTTTGTTATGGTAGCCCAAGCAAACTAATACATATTGTATGCCTAGTGTGTCCCAGGTACTGGACTATGCACTAGGGATACAAAGATGGACACAATAGACATATTTCCTGCACTCTTAGAAAATGTAGTCTAGCAGGGGAGATAACACATGGATACACAAATGGAATGCATTATGGTTTGTCTAAGCATTTAAAGAGGTAGTACTAAATGTCATGACAACATCAAGGCAGAGCACCTGAGCTTGACGAATCAGGCGGCTTCCTAAAGGAGGTGACATCTTAGCTGAGAGTTGATGGGTGAATAGGAAAAAAGCAGGAAATGCTTTAGGAAGAAGAAATAACCTGTGCAAAAACCTATACAGCAGAGAGAGCTCAGTGGCCTTGAGGAACTGATCAAAGCTTATATGAACTTTCTATGTCTGAGTGATGGTGCTGGGAGAGTATTTCAGGTCAGACTCTCCAGGAAACAGTCTGAGGCCAATTTATATGCATTATGTTTCTTGAAGTGTGCTCTCTGGAACACCTGTGGGGGAATAAAGGCTGCATGACTGGGCAAAGAGAAGTTAAACTGCCATGTAGTTGCAACATAGGCCTCAGCCGATCCCATGAGGAGCTCTGGAGGTATCAGGGCCCATCAGATATGTCCCAAATTGAGGCAAGGGGATCAGACCTTGGCACCCCTGCATCAAGCAGTCACTGGATGAAAGCTGCGCCCAAAGACGGAAAGTAGATGATCTTGGGTGAGGCAGTTTTCTTTGGATGAGGGCAATGCCTGGAAACGGACTCAGCTGTAAGTTGTTAATAGCAACACTTGCAAATCAATGTCTTTGTCCTAAAGAGTAAATTTGGGCGAGCACCACAGTGTCTATTTCAGTAGGTTAAGCAGAAGCCAGACCTTGCCAAGTATGTAGAACATGCCAAACATTTTAGGTGTTACGGTAAGAACAATGAGACAGTAATTTGAGTTTCAAGTGAATAACACATAAATAGATGTGTGTTTACAGAGGGCTCTCTGGAGGCCAGGTGAAAGACAAATTGGAGGACAAGACTAAATGCAATGGGGGAGATGGATTAGGAGGCTCTTAGAACGATCTAAAAAGAGAATGACGAGGGCCAGAACTAGAGTTGTGTCAGTGGAGAGAGAGCTAACCGGTTGCCTTTGAGAAATATGTGGAATGTAGAATTGCCAGAACTTGGTTAGTGATTGAATGAGAGGAAAGAGAGGGAGTCAGGTTGATGACGAGAACCTGCGTTGTTTACAACAGGCTCCCTTCTGACCCCTTCAAGTCTAGCGTCTGCGTCTGCGTTGTAGCCAGGCGAGGGAGCCAGTATGTAAGCCTCATTGTGTAATCTCCCTGCCTTACAAGCTTTGACTGCCTGCCAATTCCTTCCCAAGAACACAGATTTCTCAGGCTCAGGTAAGTCTTTGCAAGTAAACTACATCTAAGCTAAGATCCATAATGTG